GACCCTGCCTCAAAAAAACCATGACAAAACACCTGTATTAGTCAAAAACATCAGCCCAGTTTCCCAGTTGCTTATCAGCCTTCTGTAGGCGTGCAAATCACCCGCAGGTTTGGACCAAAGAGTAGCAGAAAGTTCGTGAAGGGTGTACCAGCTGACCAGAACCACAGTCTGTAGCCTTGGAAGCTGTTAACCGTCACCTGCGACTGCCTATGCATGCAGTCTTGCCCACCATTCCAGTTATCAAGACCTAGAATTGTTTCCTTAGCCAGGTGAAAGTTCCCCCATTCCCTCCAGTGTGCCCCTTTTACCAGCAACCGGCCCCTGCCTCTTCCCATGAGACCGCAGGGCTCTTATCTAAGGAAGCCGTAGGGAACCGTGTTGCTCAAGCGTGTTGAATTTAATTCTCACTGGTGACAGGTGTGTGTGTGTGTGTGTGTGTGTGTGTCCATCCCTGCACACATCTGCTCACAGTCAGGCTCTCAGTTATAGCGGCAGACTCAAGACTAGTTCGGGGGATGGCTGTGCCGACAACTCTCAGCAAGGGAAATCACCAAGAGGTTTGCACTGATTCTGTTTCTCTTCTGTGTGATTCCTTCACTAGAATGCAGGCTCCTTGTGCACAAGACTTTGGTCTTCTTCACAGTCATGTCCCTAGGAACTGGAACAGAACCAGAAACCTCCTGTGTGCTCAGAAGTGGTTTGTGGGAGTCAAGGAGCCTGGTGTTGTGAGCATTAGGCTGCCGCTCTGCTGGGAGCCACTGCAGCCACAGGCAGGATTGGGGGTCTTCTTGCTCCCTTCCACCAGTAACCTCAATACCACTTCTAACTCTTATCTCACCCAAACCAGAGAGAATGTTCCCTCTACAAAGCCAAGGAAGGACACAAAATCAGAGGAGTGGACACAGCAGCAGGCTGACCAACAAAATCCAGAGGCCCCAAAAACCACAAGGGGAACGTGGTGAGTTGCCAAACCAGAGAGCGCAGCAGCAGATATCAAAGCCAGGGAGCACAGCCAGGAATCCCAGACCAGAGAGATGAAGGGAAAGAGCAAGTGGGCAGATCACAGCGGAGAGGGGCCCGGGCCCCCTTTGAACAGGCGTCGGAAGCTTGCTTTAATGTTCCTCTGAGCCAAGCTGGGGTGGGCCAGTCAAGGTCAGAGGGGCCATGGAGAGCTGGATAGAATGGGATCTTCTGGAGCTCTTTGTTTCTTCGAACACAACCTGGGGAGCTAGCATGTGGGGGTAGGAGGCACATGACTGGCTGCAAGGCCTGGCTTCCACATTCGGACCTAATGAAATCTCCCCGCTGCTGGCCATTAGGACAGTGAGAACCTGAGTGAGCAGCTCGAAGCCGGGACTCAGTCTCTGGGCACCTTCACCTGAGAGTTGGCATACAGCAGCAGCCCCAGCGTCCTTCCTTATCGGGATTCAGGCTGGATCTCAAGAAAGGCATTGGGAAGGAAACCGCAAAGTCGTCAGCGAAGAGGAAAGAGGATCGGACCAGACTACTAAGGCCCCATCTTGTCCTCTGAGGAGGGAGGGCTGTGAAGAGAAGCAGATCCCCTCCCCCATACCAAGCAAACATTAACGCGGTCACAAGACACTCAGCAGACTTGGGTTAAGCATCTGATGACTCCTGATTACTTCTAAACTGGGCTCGTGAGCCTGCCAGCTGGCAAACACAGTTCGCCCAATCATCGTCCGCTGCTCCTTCCTTTACTCTCCGGAGCCTCCTCTGCCCACACCATCCTTCCAACAGCAGAATTGTCTTACCCACAACGTGATTGCTGTACCCCCCCCCAAAAAGAAGCTTTCTTCGTTATTGCTCCAAGTCTTGGAGTTGGAACCCAGGGTCTCACATGTTAGTCCATCTGCCACTGATCTACCCCTTGCCCCAAAACTGTTTCCGTCTAGTTCCAGGCATCTGGGTTCTCCGGGGCGAGCTCTCCACTCCCACACCCAGCAAGCAGGCAAACAACGCTGAACCTTCATGACCTGTCCCACCTGCATGCATGAGCGCCCGCTGTGGAATCGGGTCAGTGCGAGGTGGAGAGCTGGCTCGCAGGCTGTGTTAGTTACTGACTTCTCCGAGCCTCCGTTTCTTCACCCATAGAAGGAATGTCTGCAGCATTTTAATGCAGCTGTGGACATCAAGCAAGGAAGCCTATGCGGAAGTGCCTCCAAGTCAGAAGAGCCAACATGCAAGCACGTGCTCGATACCAGCGCTGGGGAGGATGGTGAGAGCCAGCTTCGCCTGGGCTACCCAAGCCCCTGCTTCAACAAGCAAAGTGTTACTGTCGATTACAGCTTCTCGGGCCGTAGCTGCTGTGCCCTTCACATTTGTTTCCAGGTTAGAATTGTTTGGGTTCTAATTTTAAAAAGTAACCTAAAATTCAAATGATTATAATAACTCATTTTTCCCTCATATAAGATCTATCCAGAGCTGTGGTAAGATTCCATGGTAGCGAGGATCCAAGATCTCTTGATCTTTTTGCTTTAACCATGGGGAGCCTCCATTCCTAACATTGCCTTAGTCCAAAATAGCAACACAAAATCCAGCCATGGACTGCAGAGATCAGAGAGCAAGGGCACTGAGCCTGATGGCTTGACTCTGATCCCCGAACTCCCACGGATGAAGAGAACCCACTCCTGCAAAGTGTCCTTTGGCTTCCATACATGCCGTGGGGTGATGTGCATATGCACGAACACAAACAAACAGAAAAATATTAAAGCCAGCCATTATATAACACCCCAGTCAGCTCCTTAGGAAGAATAAAGACCATGCCCTCTGCCTTCCAAGTCGCCCAGGAAATTCTGCCGCTGATTACAGCAGCCACATTCAGCAACAATGAAGGCTGGGCAATCTGGTTTTATTCTGAGTGATCACGTGTCTCCATGGAAACAGAGGGGACTAGTGTACCACACTTGTAAGCCACCAATCAGCTCCCAAATCATGACATGGAGACTCCTAATTAGTTGTAAATGCTTGGCCTAGCTTAGGCTCCTTTCTGGGTAGCTCTTTTAACTTGTTTATTTTTATCTACTCTTTGCCTTGGGGCTTTTTACTTTTCTTTCCTTCTGTATATTTTTCACTGCTTCTCACGTCTGGCTGGCCTGTCCCTCGCTTTCTCCTTCCTTCTTCTTTCATTCCTCTTGAGCCTAGATTTCTCCTCCTACTTATTCTCTCTGCCTGTAAGCCCCGCCTGTCCTTTCTCTGCCTAGCTATTGGTGGTTCAGCTCTTTATTAGACCAATCAGGTGCCTTAGGGAGGCAAAGCAAAAAAAAAAAAAAAATACAGCACATCTTTACATAATTAAACACATGTCTTTACATAGTTAAACAAATGCAGCACAAATGTAACACATCTTTGCCCAGTTAAAATAATATTCCACGACAATGAAGTTTTGTCATTTGAAAAGGAGGCAGGGACTCTGTCAGAAGTGGTCACTTCTCCATCCTCATCTCCCTGTGAGTAGCAGCTGGCCTCCCCTGGCCCCCAAACCTCTCCTTTACTACTGAGAGCAAATCACACTCCTTCTCCTTCTCCTCTGTCTGTAAATGCACCGGGTCTCAGCACAGGGCTGCCACAGCTTCTCTTCTTAGCCCCAACTCACCTCTCAATAATGACCCAACTCCCAACTCCAGTAAGAATCTGGGTATCCTTCCCGAGTCTGGTCCAGGGAGGATAGTGCCCACTGAAAGGCAGGCCCTGCCATCCAGGCAAGGCCTCCTGCCTCCCTGCTTAGGACAGGGAGCAAACGGTCCAGCAGGTACAGGTGGGGTTTCTGCATCAGCCCTCTCTGAACCCCAAACTAGTTCAGTTTAGCACAGAACAGTAGTTGATGTAAATTCGGGGCTTGGTAGTCTTGGGAAATGAATGAGTACCTGACTCTTCAGCATGGTACAATGGGACTTCTGGAGCAAAAAAGAAAAAAGAAAAGAAGAAATGAAGGTGGGAAGATAGAAGGGAAGTATTGGACAGTTCTTAGGAAATTGGGAAGGAAATTTGAGTTGTCTATGATCAAGATATATTGTATACATGTATGAAATTGTCAGGTAATAAATTCTTTTTAAAAGGAAATTGCTGCTAATAAATGTGCAGAAACTGGATTTGGGAGAACTGGAGCCCCGTCTCAGGCACAGACATGAAGCACATCCTTTGGATGTCATGCAACTCCTTCTACTAATATATATGCCAGCCACAGGCACCAGAGCTTTCCTGTGGAGGAACACCCCTCCACAAGATGGAACGTAGTGGAGAGCAGACAGTGTCCTAGGGTCCCTCCAAGGACTGTTGCTGCTGGACCTGACCCAGTGAAGAGGCGCGTGGGTTTATCAGTCATGAGCTGGTCCTCGGCAGTTTGCTGATCAGGAAGCCATTTTACTCTTGTATCAAGGGCTAAATTCAAGCTCCTGAAATACTAAGCAAGTGTTCACACCCTGCCTGCAGGCCCTGCCTGAACCCATTACCCTTTCCTCAGACCTCTCTTCAGATACAATGATTCCTGAATCCATTTCTGTCCATTAAGTGCACAGGCTGTGTTTCTAAAAGCACAGTATTCACAGGCTCTGAACAAAGAGCCCCCTGCTGGAGGCTCGATGGCGAGGTGATCAAAGATTTGCAGAGCCCGGGTAGTTTCTAATGCACTTGTTCTTGCATAGCGAGCGCAGTGATGCTGGCTGGAACTTTGCCCCTGGTGCCTTCCAATCAGAGAGGCAGCTTGAACTGACATTGACTCTGTAGTGTTGGAGGAATGTTGGCCATATACTGTACCCAAATTGGTAACACTAACATGTCAGCATAGGACTTTTGGTGCTGGCCTGTCGCCGTTCCCATGGTTCAGCGAGCCTTATTCATGTTCACCGTCCAGTGTGTGCCCCTCTGGTGTGCACTTGTTACTTTATGTACCTGCTCTAATACTTGCCAGCTGCTGGCGTCTGTGATCTATTGACAGGTACACAGTTCTGTCATTCTTGTACAAAGAAATATGCACAAAGGCCTTTGTGTTTGTAGTAGACTTTACTGAAAATTGGTGATATGGCATAGGCTTACATAGCAAAAGCACAATGTTACAGCAGACATCCATGGTGGGGGGGGGGGAAATTCCAGCCCTGTAGGAAAGCCATTCCCCATTCTTAGCAAGTAAACAAAAAACCAAATTGCAAAGCTTATTTGGGAACTCTATCCTATTTCACTTGGGGCCTCCTCTTGACTTTAGGGACATCTCCATCCACTTCTTGTCTCCAGGACCCACAGTTCTCCACATGAGGAGCTGTCTCCTCAATCCTCCAACATGGTTCTGTCTGATCTTCATTAACTGACACCAATTCTGGGCCTCAGCCTCCCCCAGAGCAACCTTGATTCTTCCCTCTCTATCCCACTTCACACAATCGACAGGTCACCTCCTCCCCCTTCCTCAGTCTAATGGAAGCTCCAGAGATTGCTGTCCATCTTACTCACTGGCACGCTCTCAGTGCCTGACACACCTCAGAAGTTAAATATGCACAAAGCAAGCAAACAATCAAAGCAACTTGGCTGAGCTCTCCAGGCCTCACTTTCTTCATCTTTAAAAAGGACTACCAGAAAAGCCGGGCGGTGGTGGCACACGCCTTTAATCCCAGCACTTGGGAGGCAGAGGCAGGCGGATCTCTGTGAGTTCGAGACCAGCCTGGTCTACAAGAGCTAGTTCCAGGACAGGCTCCAAAACCACAGAGAAACCCTGTCTCGAAAAACCAAAAAAAAAAAAAAAAAAAAAAAAAAAAAAAAAAAAAGACTACCAGGTTTGTCTGAGGACCTAGCTTCTTGAAAAGCTGAAGCAGGTTCATAGGCACCCAGAAGTTTGGGACCAGCATGGGCAAGAAAGTGACACACCCCCATCAGTGATGCTGTCGAGACCACGGAAATGCCCTAGTCAGGTCTATGTAACAAGAACTCTCATGGCCTGTGTTCAAAGGTAGGCATGATCAAACCGTGGCACAAGAAGAGGTAACTGCAACGTTCATGCTACTACGTGTACTACGTACGGTTCTATGCCTGTAGTGTGGCGCCTGCACTACAAGATGGTTCGCAATTGCAAGCCGAGCAAGGGCATGGAGACTTAAGCACACAGAGACGCGGGTCATCCTTGAAATAAGAATGCCCTCTTTATTGTGTTCAAGACCAGTTTATATAGTGCTCTGGCCACACCCCAGCTCTCTTTCAGCTGCAAGCCACCAGAAGCCACTCCCCTACCATCAGGGCCTTATGCTCCGAGCAGCTGCAGGCTGCTCAGAGTAGAGGAAAACAAGTTGTTTACAGGAAATTCGGGGTCTGGTGGTCTGCATTCCCCAGCAGTAACCACTAGTGATCTCTTGGAAAATTAGCCGGAGGTGGCCAATAGGAAACAGAAAGGTTCATAGGGCCGTAAGTGCTAATGCCAAATGCAGGAGGTTATGGGTTATGATGAGTCAGGAAGGCTAGAGTCAGGTGTGTGGACAGAAACGGGTGGAACAGCAGAAACAGCTCCCCGTCCCACTGGCCCAGGTAGCACTACACCAGCAGAGAGGCAGCTAAAGCTGCTTTCTTCTATGTGACTCTTTGGAGAGTAAACCTCTAAGTAAGCAAAGCTCTGCGAGGCCACTGGGATCACATGGCAGAGGGGAAGCTTGGGGCCAACACTAGCATCCAACCTACCTCTCGTGCTGATAGGAAAGGGTTGTGTCTGCCGTGTCCCCACAGCCAAGAGGCTGTTTCCATGCCTGTATGAGGTAGCCTGGCAGGCCACGATGCTTCCTGAGCGCCCCCGCCCCCAGTCAGGATAGGAAGGGTAAGGAGAAGAAAGGCTGAGGCTGTTTGAGGACTGCAAACAGACTCCTCTCTTCACAGGCAGGCCCATGTCATTGGCTCTGAGTTTAATGCAGGCACGGTAGTGATAGTTTTCTGTCTGCTCACTGAGAGCAGATCTCCAGGTATATATACCACAGTATGCCTGAGCATGAAGCTCAGCTGGAAGCCATGAAGTTGCTTTCTTATACAGAAGGTGGGGGGAAGAGTTGGGGCAGTCAAGAACATGCATGGATTAGAGGGATCGGTGAGGCTCGCTTTCCTCCTCCCATCTTCCCATCTGCTCATCTAAAACTACAGGGACTGTTGCTTATAGCTTACAGGAGGAATGCTTGTCCAGCCTGTGCCAAGTTCTGGGAACCACCTCCAGTACCTGAAAATACAGAAATAATATAAATATTTCCCATCCCTCAAGGGATACCTATTCCAAGACTTCCATCCTCTGATATCTCCCATCTGTGGGAGAGATGGCAACAGTTGAGGGGACCACCCCACCCTACTGCAGAGCTCCCTATCCTGGCTCCTCTGTTGGAGTTAGTGCCAATATGCATTTATTGGAACTGGTGGGTGTGCTCAACACTGGAATGCACTGATCATTCATGAGGTTGATTAATTTTATACCTATTTTATAACCAGGAAAGCTGAGTTATAGTGCAATTAAGTAACTTCCTCTAAGGCTGCATACTGAGTTATAGCGTGGTCTGACTCCAGAGCGCTTGCTCCTCGCCTCCACTCCGCAGCATCACCTCTATGCTGCCCTACTCCTTTCTGCAATCCCAGAACCCCTCTGTCAGAGCTGGGCACACACAGACTCTCCCAGGTTGGATCCTCCAATTCTGCTCCAGATTGCTTGAACTAGAGCTCCTATTGGGGAAAAAGATACCAGAGAGCCATGAGGGAGCAAGAGAGAGTCAGACACAAGTCCTCTAGGGGGAGGGGAGGGAGGGAAGGAGATCAGACCACTATGGTGCAGTTTGTACCAAGCATTTTACAGAACCCTCTCCTGTTGAAAAAAAAAAAAAAGGTTTTGAAAGTCAGGTACCGCGCAGAGAAAAGGGTTGAAGGCATGTGGCTCATGGTGGGTGAAGGAGTCTGCCAAGCTCAGGCAGCTAGAAATCCTGGCACTGTAGCCAGAACTGCTGAACCTAAATGCCCTCCAAATGTCAGGGCACCCATGAAGGTTCACTTCTTTCCTGACCCACATCAGGGAGCACAGCTTGAGCTGGCCTGGGACTGACTCCCAGAAAGTCACCTATAATAGGCCCCTCAGCTATGAATTATTGAGTCAGAAGACACAGTCAAGAATTGAACTGGGCAGGACTCAGAAATTATTGGACCACCATAGTATTTAACTTGCAAGCCCTTTGCCACACACGTGACTGACGATATATTAATGTCCCATCACTTATCTTGATGTCCCTATCCAGCCTTGGCATGGTCACCTTCTGCCCTCCCTGCATTGATCTGGAACCAGTGATCACAGAGGTAATCACTGCAAGCAGAGGCAAGCTACCTTTCAGTAACTGTCGCTGCCACACCTAAACTCCAGCCTTGATAAACATGGCTATCTTAGGGCCATGGACACAGGCCTGGCCAGACAGTACACACACAATCATGCACAGCAGTCACGGGTTGATGGCCTGCATGCCATTTGTCTTTAAGTACCCAGTGTAACCAGAAGCACCGGGGACAGGTTAGGGTGGCAGCACAGGGACCCTCGGCTGTTGATTGCCAACGTCTGGTGATGTTCCTGGCTGCATCCACTGGGGCTCTCAGGTATGTCCTTCTCCTCAGTTCTTTCAGCTCAGACAGTTCCTCTGAAAAAAATGGAAGACACCTCAGCTTTACTGGGGGTCGGCATTGCAGGATCAGACAGTTTGCTGGTGGAAAGTCAGGGCTAGTCTGCTCAGTATTCTGGCCACTTCCAAGGGTTGTCCCTGCATGGGTTCTAAGGCTTCTCAGATTCTCGCATTCTGTCATCAGCTCATTGATAGGGTGTAGAGCTCCAGGCCACTTGGTTAACACCTCAAAGACGTGACCTTTCCTGCAAGTCTGCTGATGATACATACAAAGATATGATGGTCAAAGCCAGAAACAGGGATGCCGGGGGTGAAGCTCTCCATCAGGCTGTAGCTCGTGTATTACTGGAGCAGGTGCTTCAGCTGTGATTGGCTACATCTGCAGGCTACTTAGCAAGTTTGAGACCATTCTGGGCTACATAACCTTTCTCTAAAACAATTTTTTTTTTAAATACAATGGTGCAAATGTTTTTTTGTTACTGTTTTTCAGTGCTGAAGATGACCCAAGCCTCACACATGCTGGATGAGTGTCCCACCACTGGACCATAGTCCCAGACCCATGACCAGTTTCCAGCATTTTGGCATAAAAGGTGAGAAGGGAATAGACCTTAATACTAGGCTTTTGGGAAGGGAAGCAATGGATATGATTTGAGTAGTGGCCAGCCTCAGTGAGAACTGGATACTAGCACTGAAGCTAGAGCGACCTACCCAAAGCTCCTGCTGGTTCCCAAATGAACCAGGAAACCCTGGTGGGTTCTCTTCAGGTTTGCTAGGTTCTACTCCTCTCTTTCTCTTCTCCCAGTGAGTACAGAAACTCCTGGGAAGGACATTAGTTGACCTGAGGCTGGTTCCAAAGAGACTACCATACAACAGCTCTGTCTGCAGCACCCCAAGAGCAAAATAAACTTTGAACCCCTTTACCTCCAGCCCAAGTCCAACTCCATGGGAGGGGCCACAATCCAATCATTGTCAAGTAGGAGGAAAAGGCAGGAGGCTGGGAACCCAGGAGCAGAACAAACCTTTGAAGTCAATAGGCATTAACCCAGGCTCTTCCTCTTCAGCTGTGACAGGACAGGCAGACAATGATTTCAGAGGAGAGAGATGGGGCAGGTGCTGAACATAAAGCTGAGGAGAAGGGCACCAAGGGGCCTGAGTGATGGGACTTCCATGTACCTGAACCTACACACACAGACACACACACAAGGGGAGGAAGGGAGAGAGAGAGAGAGAGAGAGAGAGAGAGAGAGAGAGAGAGAGAGAGAGAGAGAGAGAGAGAGAGAGAGAGAGAGAGAGAG